CCCTCCATGAAAGTGGAAAAACCACGCATAACAACATATCTCTCTCTCTCTTTTTTTTTTTTTTTCCCCCAGATAGAGCAGTGTTTCTCAACCTGGGGGTTGGGACCCCTGGGGGGTCAAGAGGGGGTGACAAAGACCACCAGAAAAGACAGTATTTTCCATTTTTCATGGGGGTTCTGTGTGGGAAGTTTGGCCCAATTCTATCATTGGTGGTGCTCTTTGATTGTAGGTGAACTATAAATCCCAGCAACTACAACTCCCAAATGTCAAGGTCTATTTTCCCCAGTGTTCACATTTGGGTATATTGAGTATTCATGCCAAGTTTGGTCCAGATCCATCATTGTAAACAGGCTCTCTGAATGAAGGTGAACTACAACTCCAAAACTCAAGGTCAATGCCCACCAAACCTTTCCAGTATTTTCTGTTCGTTATGGGATGAACTGTGTGCAAGTTTGGTTCAATTCCATCATTGGTGGAGTTCAGAATGCTCTTTGATTGTAGGTGAACTATAAATCCCAGCAACTACAACTCCCAAATATCAAGATCTATTTTCCCCAAACTTCACCAGTGTTCACATTTGGGCATATTGAGTATTCATGCCAAGTTTGGTCCAGATCCATCATTGTTTGAGTCCACAGTGCTCTCTTGGATGTAGGTGAACTACAACTCCAAACTCAAGGTCAATGCCCACCAAACCCTTCCCGTGTTTTTTCTGTTGGTCATGGTAGTTTTGTGTGCCAAGTTTGGTTCAATTCAGTCATTGCTTGAATTCAGAATGCACTTTGATTGTAGGTGAACTATAAATCCCAGCAACTACAACTCCCAAATGACAAAATCAATCCTTCCCCAACCCCACCAGAAATTTGAACGTATGGGGTATTTGTGCCAAATTTGGTCCAGTGAATGAAAATTCATCCTGTATATCAGATATTTACATTATGATTCATAACAGTAGCAAAATTACAGTTATGAAGTAGTAACGAAAATAATTTTATGGTTGGGGGTCACCACAATATGAGGAACTGTATTAACGGGTCGCGGCATTAGGAAGGTTGAAAACTACGAGCAAAATCACAGTTATGAAGTAGCCATGAAAATAATGTTATGGTTGGGGGTCACCACAACATGAGGAATTGTATTAAGGAGTCACTGCATTAGGAAGGTTGAGATGCCACATTATGATTCATAACAGGAGCAAAATCACAGTTATGGAGTAGCAACGAAAATAATGTTATGGTTGAGGGTCACCACAACATGTGGAATTGTATTAAGGAGTTGTGGCATTTGGAAGGAGGAGAAACACTATTATAGGACTTGAACCCAAGTCCTTGAACCCAAGACAAAGCTGGGACCATCTAACTTCTACTTCTAGTGAAGCAGAGGTGACTTGTTACATGACGATTCCTAACAGGAGTAAAATTAAAGTTATGAAGTAGTAACAAAAGTAATGTTATGGTTGGGGGTCCCTACAACATGAGGAACTGTATTAAGGGGTCGTATCATTAGGAAGGTTGAGAAACACTGCTCTAATGAGATTCACAACAGTAGCAAAATCACAGTTATGGAGTAGCAATGAAAATAATGTTATGGTTGAGGGTCACCACAACATGTGGAATTGTATTAAGGAGTTGTGGCATTTGGAAGGAGGAGAAACACTATTATAGGACTTGAACCCAAGTCCTTGAACCCAAGACAAAGCTGGGACCATCTAACTTCTACTTCTAGTGAAGCAGAGGTGACTTGTTACATGACAATTCCTAACAGGAGCAAAATGACAGTTATGGAGTAGCAACGAAAATATAATGTTATGGTTGGGGGTCACCACAACATGAGGAGCTGTATTAAGGAGTCATTGAGATGCCACCTAAATGATTCCTAACTGTAGCAAAGTCACAGTTATGGAGTAGCAACGAAAATAATGTTATGGTTGAGGGTCACCACAACAAAAGTAACTGTATTAAGGAGTCACTGCATTAGGAAGGTTGAGATGCCACCTAAATGATTCATAACAGGAGCAAAATCAGTTATGGAGTAGCAACGAAAATAATGTTATGGTTGAGGGTCACCACAACATGAGGAATTGTATTAAGGAGTCACTGCATTAGGAAGGTTGAGAAACACTGCTATATGGAATGTAACCAGAGCATGGACTACAGTGGCCAAGTCAGACTTCTGAAGGTACGGGCGCAGCTGGCTCACAAGCTCCTCTGGTCACCGCCAAAAACTGGGGTTCCAGGCTCAGCGATGAGTCCAGGCTCACTCCCAAGCTGCGAACCTGCGCAGGTTGAGCATCCTTCTCCACTAAGATAGAACCTCTCTCTAGGAATCTATAAGTTCCGCAGTGCCTCTGCTTCTCCAAGCTCAACATTAGCATCTGGGGCAGACACTGACCTGTAAATGGGCCCCAGGTTCTGGAAGTTCCTCTGCATGACGCGGTGGAAGTTCTGGAAGCTGTTGGTCCTCCAGAACTGGTAGAGGTTGACCCAGGCGTTGCTACCGCTGCGGGGAATGGCCTCGAAGGGCAAGGCCTTGGTAGCCACGGCGGGGGCCACTGAGTGGCAAGGCTGGCCCGACCAGAACGAGCGGGGAAAGGACCGCTGAGCAGCAGCCCAGGACCTCAACCGCTGGCCGGCCCCCATCTCCACCAAGGCTCTTCTCTCTCTGCAGTTCCACTGTGGGTCCCCAGCCCTATAGGGAGGCCCCTTATATCCCCACAGTCAAGGACAGCCACCGCCAAGGGCAGACTCCCCTCCGCCTCCTCCTCCTTCTGCCCGTCGCTGAGGGGAAAGTCCTGCGTCAAGCTGTAGAGAGGGAAGGGGCACCCCGAGGCCATCTAGTCCACCTCCTAGGAACATTATAACATAGGCATGGGCAAACTTCAGCCCTCCAGGTGTTGTGGACTACAACTCCCACAATTCCTAACAGACGGTAGGGTCAATCCAGTCCAACCCCATTTGGCCAGGCAGAAAGACACAATCCAAACCCTCCCAACAGACATCTCACCCTGAAATAGCTCTCTTTTAACCTCAGGAAGCTGTTTCTAAATTTTTCAAATGTTGTTACATAATGTGATCCTACAGATGGAAAGGAACCCCTCCAGTACAACCCCCACTGCCATAAAGGGGGACACTATCTAAGCCTTCCCGACAGATGGTCATCCAGCCTCTGTTTAAGAACCCCCAAAGACCACGAGGCCTTTGCCCTCCAAGGCAATCCATTTAACTATCAAATAGCTATTACAGTCATGACATTGTATTGTCGAAGGCTTTCATGGCCAGAATCACTGGGTTGTTGTAGGTTTTTTGGGCTATATGGCCATGTTCTAGAGCATTCTCTCCTGACGTTTTGCCTGCATCTATGGCAAGCATCCTCAGAGGTAGTGAGGTCTGTTGGAACTAGGAAAAGGGTTTATATATCTGTGGAATGACCAGGGTGGGACAAAGGACTCTTGTCTGTTGGAGCTAGGTGTGAATGTTTCAACTGACCACCTTGATGAGCATTTGATGGCCTGGCAGTGCCTGGGGCAATCTTTTGTTGAGAGGTGATTAGATCATAGAATCATAGAATCAAAGAGTTGGAAGAGACCTCCTGGGCCATCCAGTCCAACCCCCTGCCAAGAAGCAGGAATATTGCATTCAAATCACCCCTGACAGATGGCCATCCAGCCTCTGTTTAAAAGCTTCCAAAGAAGGAGCCTCCACCACACTCCGGGGCAGAGAGTTCCACTGCTGAACGGCTTTCACAGTCAGGAAGTTCTTCCTCATGTTCAGATGGAATCTCCTCTCTTGTAGTTTGAAGCCATTCCTCCATTGCGTCCTAGTCTCCAGGGAAGCAGAAAACAAGCTTGCTCCCTCCTCCCTGTGGCTTCCTCTCACATATTTATACATGGCTATCATATCCCCTCTCAGCCTTCTCTTCTTCAGGCTAAACATGCCCAGCTCCTTAAGCCGCTCCTCATAGGGCTTGTTCTCCAGATGTCAAATAATATACTGTGTCCAGGTTGGTTCATCAGGTGTTCCGCTATGGCTGACTTTTCTGGTTGAGTTAGTCTGCAGTGCTTCCATCTTCTTTCATTCGTGTTTGGAACTTTCCTAGTTCCAACAGACCTCCCAACCTCTGAGGATGCTTGCCATAGATGCAGGCAAAACGTCAGGAGAGAATGCCTCTAGAACATGGCCATATAGCCCGAAAAAAACCTACAACAACCGAGTCATGACATTCTTCCTAATGTTTAGGTGAAAGCTCTCTGAATCTGCTCTTGGTTTTAGCCTGAATTTTAAAGGTGCTCTCCTGGGTCCTGAATGCAAACCCCTCCAATATTCATCTATCTACTTCTCTGTGTATGTGTACCCATAAGCAAACCCTATTGAGTTCCATGGGACTTGATCCCAGATGGGTGGAAACCATGGATCCCTCGGAAGAAGTCTGAGGTGTTTCGCTTGGAAGAAAGAAGGTTGAGACAGGTTTCAGTATTTGGAAGGAGGTCTTCTAAAGTTGTTGTTGTTGTTCATTTGTTCAGTCGTCTCCGACTCTTCGTGACCTCATGGACCAGTCCACGCCAGAGCTCCCTGTCGGCCGCCACCACCCCCAGCTCCCTCAAGGTCAGTCCAGTCACTTCAAGGATGCCATCCATCCATCTTGCCCTTGGTCGGCCCCTCTTCCTTTTGCCTTCCACTTTCCCCAGCATCATTGTCTTCTCTAGGCTTTGCTGTCTCCTCATGATGTGGCATTCAAAGGACTTCAACTTTGTCTCTAGTATCCTTCTTCTAAAGTAGCACTCTGGAAATGGGGGTCCATGGACCAAGCAGGAAGGAAGGAAAGAAGGAAGGGAAGAAGGGAAGGGAAGGGAAGGGAAGGGAAGGAGAAGAAATAAATAAATAAATAAATAAATAAATAAATAGAAAGAGAGTTGAAGTCAGTGACTACGAATATGAAGCTGATCCTTGGAATGTTTCCAGAGGGAAAAAAGGAAGGAAGGAAGGAAGGAAGGAAGGAAGGAAGGAAGGAAGGAAGGAAGGAAGAAGAGGAAGAAGGGAAGGGGTAGGGAGGGGAGGGGAGGAGAAGAAAGAAAAGGAAATAAATAAATAGAGAGAGAGAGAGAGAGAGAGAGAGAGTGAATACATTGAAGTCAGTGAATACGAATATGAAGCTGATCCTTAGCATGTTTCTAGGGGGGAAAGGAAGGAAGGAAGGAAGGAAGGAAGGAAGGAAGGAAGGAAGGAAGGAAGGAAGGAAGGAAGGAAGGAAGGAAGGAAGGCATTGTAGTTGGTGAACACAAATATGAAGCAGATCCTTGGCAGGTTTCCAGGAAGGAAGGAAGAAAAGAGAAGGAGAAGGAGAAGGGGAGAGGAGAGGGGAAGGAAGGATAGAAGGAAAGAATGAAATAATTGAAGTCAGTGGGTACAAACAAAGCTGATCTTTAGCAAGTTTCAAGGAAGGAAGGTGGAAAGGGGAAGGAAGAAAGGAAGGTGGGAAGAGGAAGGAAGGAATAAAGGAAGGAAGTAGCAGTTGGTGAGCACAGATATGAAGCTGATCCTTGGCAGGTTTCCAGGAAGGAAGGAAGAAAAGAGAAGGAGAAGGAGAAGGGGAGAGGAGAGGGGAAGGAAGGATAGAAGGAAAGAATGAAATAATTGAAGTCAGTGGGTACAAACAAAGCTGATCTTTAGCAAGTTTCAAGGAAGGAAGGTGGAAAGGGGAAGGAAGAAAGGAAGGTAGGAAGAGGAAGGAAGGAATAAAGGAGGGAGGAGGGAAGAAGGAAGGGAGGGAGGGAGGGGGGAAGAAAGAAGGAAGGAGTTGTAGTCGGTGCACAAATACAAAGCTAATCCTTGGCAGGTTTCCAGGAAGGAAGGAAGGAAGGAAGGAAGGAAGGAAGGAAGGAAGGAAGGGGAAGGGGAAGGAAGGAGAAGAAAGGGGAAGGAAGGAAAGAAAGAAGGAAATAATGAAATAACTGAAGTCAGTGGGGGCAAACAAAGCATTTGGCAAGTTTCAAAGGAAGGAAGGTGGAAGGGAAAGGAAGAAAGGAAGGAAGGAAGAGAAAGGAAGGAATAAAGGAAGAAGAGGAGGTGGTGAAGAAAGAAAGAAAGAAGGAAGGAAGGAAGGAAGGAAGGAAGGAAGGAGAAGGAAGGAAGGAAGGAACTGTAGTTGGTGCACAAATACGAAGCTGATCCTTGGCAGGTTTCGAGGAAGGAAGGGGAAGGGGAAGGGGAAGGGGAAAAGGAGGGGGGAGGGGGAGGGGAAGGAAATAATGAAATAATTGAAGTCAGTGGGTACAAACAACACTGATCTTTGGCAAGTTTCAAGGAAGGAAGGGGGGAAGGAGAGAGGGGTGAAGAAAGAAAGAAAGAAAGAAAGAAAGAAAGAAAGAAAGAAAGAAAGAAAGAAAGAAAGAGTTGAAGTCAGTGGGTACAAATCTGAAGCTGATTTTTGGCACGTTTCAAGGAAGGGAGGGATGAAGGAAGGAGAAGGGGAGAGGAAAGGGGAAGGAAGGATTGAAATATAGATAGATAGATAGATAGATAGATAGATAGATAGATAGATAGATAGATAGAAAAAGTTGATGTCAATGGGTACAAATATGTGAGTCGCCGCTCTAGGCTGAGATACTAGCGGTATACAAGTGTACTAAATAAATAAATAAATAAATAAATGTTTTCCTGAATGTTGGTCTTCAAATCTTGTCGGGTCCTTGGACGGTTCACAGAAACACGGGATTTCAAAAAACCCCATAGAAATAATCACAAGGGGCCAAATCTGAGTAATGATGTGTGTTTAAATGTAATTTCATGTGATAGGATTGTGATTGTAATAGAATTGTATTGCCAGGATGTAGTTTGACACAGAAGGGTTACACAGAAAAATAACAAGCTGTGAGAATGTGACCCTGAGTTCTTGCTCTGTGGAAGATTAGGGAGTGCCAGAGATAAACTTCCTTCCAGCTGCAGTTTGTATTAGTTCCTATCTCTTTGGGTTTGTGTTCTTCACGTCTGTCCGCTGATGGTGTATGTTGTCTATTTTGAGCTGCTTAAGTAAAGATGAAAACCTGCTTTTACCGGAGACTCCAGAGTCCATTATTCTGAGCTGCTGCGATACTCTGTTAACGCCAACAGGCTGGCCACTCCGAATTCCCCCCAAATTGAGATGAGCCGCTCTGGGAAGGGTTCCCTCAAAACAGCCATCAATGCTCTTGAAGTGTGTGCAGTTGCACCATCTTGTTGGAACACAATGTCTCCGAAGTCCAACCCATCTAGCCGTGGGAAAAAAATCCTGTAACATGTTTACATACCGGTCCGAATTCACTGTTACGGCGACTTCATTTTCCTCAAAGAAGCAGGACCAAGAATTCCAGCTGAGGAAATGGCACACAACCACACTGGGATTTTAGGTGAATGCAAAGGCCTTGGATGCAATTCTCGAGGATCGTTGTCAGCACAGTAGTGCATGTTTTGTTTGTTGATGGATCCACACCAATGAAAATGGGCTTCATCACTCAAAAATCCAATAGCGTACCGAGGAACAACTTTGAGAAGAACCTCACACGCGTTCCTCCGAGAATTGAAGTCACGTTGAGAAAGTTCCTGCACAATCGCCATCTTGCACAGATGGAAATGAAGGTCATCATGAAGAATTTTCCTCAGAGAAC